GTTGAAGTACTGATATACGATGAAAAATCTCTACTATTTGTCGTACAAAAGTTTAGTTTATTAGTATTATTTTTCAAAAAATACACCATTATATAGGAAGTAGTGTCTAGTTTTATTATCGAAAACTAAAGTTTCAGAAGAAGATAATAATCTATTCGGATCTCATAAAAATAATCTATTCAGAAACTTTGACTCACTCTTTTATCGATTATGAGATGAATTTGAGAATTATAAGAATTGTACGTATTTAGATACATCAGGAGGTTAACAAACGTAAATTACGTCCTGTTAGTCTAAGAACAGCATACGATATTTCTGCTGATAATAAAGCTATGATCTAGTTTTCAGCAACAATTTATGTCGTACTTAAACGAGAACAACGTGCTTACATATTAAAAATCAATCGATATGGTTTGTTAGAGAATGATATTTGATTCAGGTAGTTAATTCTCAATGCACTTGTTCTAGCTCTTTTTTTATCACTCACTATACAGTTTAAAGTTAGAAACTAAAGGCACATTTTATTATTAAATGACTGCTATAGCATGTGTTAAAAAAACTTTACTATATTTATACAATTATTGATACTAATTTAAAAAATATACCCAGCACAACTGTTTCTTTATTTTTCTGCATTCTTCATATTATTTATTACTCAAATCACATCTTTACTAACTATTTGATTATATTTTAATCCATTAAAATAAATATATATAATATATCGTAGAGTAGATTCTTAATAGCACTAATATGTCCCGGTAGAATAAGTGGATCAGAAGATTATGATATTCATGTAAAGATGTTTTATCCTTACTTTAATTTGGCGTAATTGAATAAACATTAGTTAGCTATTTTCATGATCTTCTCTACTATCTAACATGTATTTTCGCTAGCGAATTAAATAGTGTTGAGAAAATAGAAGCATCAGATTAATTTATCCAAATCAAAATTATATTCCAAATACATTTACCTACCGAGAATTATCATAGATTAGAAAGTCAGTTTGTTAAATTAGTCAATCAAACCAATTCTATTCAATCGCCACAAGACTAATATAAAATGAAGTTTAAATTTGTTGTACAAACTAGGCTTTATAGAGAATAGATTTTCGAACTAAGGTTTAACACATCGACATACGCCAGAACGTATCGAGTTTTTCACTAAATGATAAATTTGGTAAAAAACTGGCATGCATTTTTCAATTTCTAACTTCAAATGTATTTAAAACACTAACAGATAGAAGTAGAAATTTAGAAAGCATTCTGACAATATTGAGTATCTTAGTTACATAAATGTTTAGATTAGTTGAAAAATTAGTTTTAAATCGGATGTACACGATCTCAAAAATTTCTAAGGAATAAGATCTCTAAGAGTTTTTTCTTCATATATCTTCAATAGTTTGTGTTTATTTTCATGAAAAGATAAGAATAGAGTCTTAGAACATTTTTAAAACATTCAAATGATTTTAAAAAATTGTCGAGCTATACACTATACAGAAAAAAGAAGTAATAAATGGATCAACTGTATCGTTTAGCTGATGGCTTCTTGACTTATAGCGTATATGTTTTTCTGTCACAATTTTACTGCATCGAAGACTAAATCTAGCTAGTTTTGTCTTAAACTCTATACTGCAGTATCTAGCTACTATAGTACAGTAAAATGACACATTACTGTAGTGTTCCGTTTATTTTGAAGTAATTAGATGTCTTATTCTGCTTGTCTTTCGTGTAACTAAATGTGATAAACTTCAATTCAAAGCTTTCTTTACTAATATTATTTATAAGTTATTGGCTAATCTTTTTGTTGCGTGATTATATTGAAGGTGATTTCTAATTTTTACAAAAAATAGACTATTTATATTTTCTTAGAGTGGAAATTGATTTCCGAACAAATTTCATCCATTCAGAAATGATTCCTACGTTTATTAAAAAATAAAGTTAATCTAATAATATTTTTAAATAACAGTTTTTGTTTTCAACTCTTTATTTATCTCCTTTTAAATAACTCACTGTAATCAGTAAATTTTCGATCGAAATAGTTAGAGTATTATTAGTGACGATATATTTTCGGTTGAACTATACTTGAACTTATTAATAACTATAAGTTAAGGCAGACTGATTTTACCAGAAAATTTTATTGTCTGCCTATATCGATTCATTAAACAAGATGTTTGTATAAAGACCATCACATTTCTAACAATGTTCTAGCATTTAGATATACGAAAAAGCAATCAAACCACAACATGATGGTTTTAATAGTGACTCAACTATAGGCCGAAAAACTACATTAAGTAGAATTGAAACGGATGAAGATCCGAATATTGCTATCCTCGAATTTGCTGCATCATCTTATGCCGTACTTGAAAGAGAACAACGTGTGACAGTGGATGTAGTCAGATATGGAAACGTTTCCTCTATGATACATTTTAGGTAGGTTTGGTTAGAATACCACCATTTTCCCCTATAATGAAATGTTTCTCTCAATGAGTCTCTATATGTTGTTAATAATTGTCGTTATTGTTGCAACAATGGTACACTAAGACATCATGTCAACGCAAATCCTTAATTTACATGCATGAGCAATGTTTACACAGTGTATTTCTATAATCTCGAGACTTGATCAAAATATCCTTCTTGATTTTTAAATGTCCATTATACTAATTTAAAGTTACAACGTAATTTCTGTAAAAAACAACAACAACTGTTTGTTATGTAAGTGTACTGTATGATAATGGATAGTTATAATCTATAGTTCTTTTCTTCGAGTAATTGTATTCGTTTGATTTTCTCACTGTTCTATAGTGTGACAATCTTGCGATGAGTACTGTAATGTATAGATGTAATTAGGTGTAGAATTTTTTATCAACTAATATTCACATTAACTAATAAATAAATATACACATCTTACTTGAACACCTGCTTTATTGCTTACCATTGTATGTAATGCTTGAATGTACTTACATATTCTATGTTATTATCTAAACAATTATTTTAGAAACACAAATAAAGACTATCTCTGACTTCTAATAATATCAAAAACTATTTTTAGTTTATTTCCTATACATCTCTTACACATTATTTTTGCTATATTTTTACTTAATGATATTATAAATGTTTAGACTTGATACGATAGATGGAACAGCAACAGCAGGTGAAGATTATGTTAAATTATCGGAAGAATTTAAAATGGAGGTAATAAACATGATATTTCTAATGAAATTTTTTTTTAAAGTAATGCTTTTTATTTTACAGCGTGGTCAACAAGAAAAAAAAATAACAATTCATGTAATAGATGACAATCAGTGGGAACCAGATGAAACATTTTTTGTTAAGGTAAATTTGTTTCTTATTTGTGTTGTGAAAAGACAAATGGTGCCACTTGATTTTCAGTTTTAATCTTAAACCAGAACGAAATCAAAAATATAAATTCCCATTATATCATTCTGAATGGTGCCACTTATATGTCACAAATAACTTGTTTATCTAACGATAGGGGATATAATAGGAATACTGTTTGGTAAAACGCATCTCTACTCGATTAGTGTGTGTCAATGGAGAAACTGAGACACAACTGCTTGATTATTCACGTTTAATTATAGACTATAGTTTATCTAAGGTTATAGTCAATAATTTCTTTAAGAGAACCGCACATACGTTTGATTTTATTTTCTCTCTTTCTTCTTAACTCAGAAATATTATGCACGATAAATACAGATACAAAGAAATATTAAAATAATCTTTCATGTCCTCTAACAAGTAAGAATTTTCAAGGACGTTTTATAACTCGAAACTTACAAAGACATGTGATAGTGCAGAAGTTAATAGGGAAAAAATCGTATCGTTAGAACACCTTCATTGATATCACAAGATAATTTTTTCACCAAGAATCATAAATTATAGATCTAAAATGTTATGCTAGTCATTTAGTGTCGTGAAGATATAACAATATTTTATTATTGTTTTTTTTTCAAGCTTTCATTGGCTGAAGGTGAAGAAGGTCGGGCTAAACTTGGAACAAAAACCATTGCACTTGTTACTATTATCAACGATGATGGTTTGTAATGAGAATAATACCAAGAAGTCTCTCTTCAAACATTTGTTGTTGTTGTTTTTATAGAGCCTGGTATCATTGAATTTGAAGAATCAATAACACTTGTTAAAGAATCAATTGGTAAAGCTGAAATCAAACTTCTACGAGTTAATGGTGCCGATGGTAGAGTATCGGTTCGATATCAAACCAAAGATATAGATGCAGTGGCAGAAAAAGATTATTTGGGTTGGTATACTGTTGAAAATATAGCTCAATTATATTATAAACTAGACACATTACCCTATTTGTTCAGGTGGAGGTGGTGAAGTTGTGTTTGAACATGGTGAAATATTAAAAGTGATTGCAATACCAATTGTCAATGATTTAGAAGCTGAAAAAGATGAAAGTTTTGCTGTTGAACTATTTGATCCTAAAGGTTTTTGTTCATTTGTTTTAGTCATTTCTACTTTGCTTAAAAATATATTCTCTATTGTTTAGGTGGTGCTCAACTTGGAAAACATGCTAAAACGGTGGTGACTATCATTAATGATGATGGTAATTTTGCATTATTCTATTTCATGATATAGTTTTAACCTGTAGACATTTTTGTTTTTAGATTATAAATCAATGGCGAATCAAATGGCCAATTTAGTACAGGTTGATATTGATCGATTAAGTGTAACAAAAACAAGTTGGGCACAACAATTTCATGATGCAATGAATGTAAATGGTGGCGATTTAGAAACAGCAAAAATTGGTCATTATATAGGTCACACGCTCGCGTTCTTTTGGAAGGTAAGGAAGAAATTATACTGGATGAAAGAAAATTATCGAAAAATTAATTGTATTTAGGTGCTATTTGCCTTCGTTCCACCAACCCATGTTGCTGGTGGTTGGTTAACATTTTTTGTCTCATTAGGATTTATTGCCTTGTTAACGGCCATTGTTGGTGACGTAGCAGCTATATTTGGCTGTCTAGTAGGATTAAAAGACAGCATCACAGCCATATCATTTGTAGCATTAGGTAAATGAGAAGGAGACCAAATAATAGAATAAATTGATAATAAACAAATATTTAATATTTATTTAGGTACATCATTGCCAGACACATTTGCAAGTATGATTGCAGCAAAAAATTCAAAAACAGCTGATGATGCCATTGGCAATGTGACTGGTTCAAATTCTGTTAATGTCTTTCTCGGTCTTGGACTTCCATGGTTAGTGGCAGCTATGTATTGGGAATCAAAAGTGAGTATGAAACGATACACCGGCATTAAATAATGTATTTCATATTCATTTTTTTTCTCATTTTAGAATTTACCATTTACAGTTAAGGCTGGTGATTTATCATTTTCCGTCCTAATATTTTCTATATGTTGTGTTATTTGTATGCTCGTATTAATTGCAAGACGATATTTGGGCATCTTTGGCAAAGCCGAATTAGGAGGACCAAAAATACCAAAATTTCTGTGTTCAATATTTTTTGTTCTGCTATGGATTGGCTATTTGACATTATCCGGTTTACAAGCATATGGACATATTAAATGGACGTCGTAAACTATAACTCTCGTCATAATTAACGAGTTACAATATATCAGTTATCATTACTGAGTCATGTAAATAATAACGATCGTTCGAACATATCCTTCATTTATTACACTTTACACTACTTATTTTTTTCTTCCCTAATCGCTAAATGTAGGAAAATTCAACTAGCTTTATGTAAAACCTGTGTGATGTTATATTTTTATCTCCCTAAAATAATAATCTCCACTATGAATCTTTAATTCATTTACTTTTTATTAATATAGAGACAGATTATGTGAAGTTTACTACGCTTGAACAGTTTATAAATTTCTTTTATTTAGTTTATGCAAAGATGGTATTTTTGTGCTAAAATTATTTTTCTTTTCTTTAATATAGCAAACAGTGCCATTGTATCATAGGATCATTTTTTGATTCTCAGGGTAATAATGATCTTTTGACATCATAGAATAGATGTCTGTCGTCGTTTTTAAAGTGAAAGGACCTTCTATGTGAAATTTTATTAAAATATGTCAGTGGTGACATTCTTTGTTAACTTTATTTCTTTTTTATACTTGTCCACTGGTCAGTTATTGTTTTTTTATCGAGTATATTATAGTAATAAATACAACACAAAATAAATTTAGATATAGATAATAACCCAATATGAATATCGATTGCATTCTATTTAGTGCAAAAACTAGAAAACTTTTCACAAAAAAAATTTGTTAAGTTAGGTAGAATTGGAGTGTTATTCCGATCAGTGTCAAAACTTTTTGACGAAACAATTGACAAAAGTCAGCTCTATTTATCTGTATCATGGTCGACCGTGTTAACTTTGGGTGAGGGTGAGGGTTAACCTGTTTAAATGCGTTAAATATGAAATATTTGATGATTTTCATATTTAAGGTATTCTAACGATCGTTAGTCGGTTCAAATTATTCCATCGATTTAATGACTCATATTGAGGATATCTTGCTATCAAACGACTTTGAATATACTACTATATAAAGTTTCTTAAAGGCCTCCTCCTACTCAAAAATGATGATTCTCTGTCAAAAAATCGATTTTGAGATAAGCAAATGAAAAGAAAGCCTGAAGTGTCTACTTTCAGAATCTGTATCATATTCGGTTGGTTATAGAAGTGATGTTTCGCGGTATTCGAACAAGTTTTCTAGGAGCATCGAAAAACCGGGTCTTCAGATAATAGCTTTTTCCTGGATACTTATGCAGTTAATCTTTTTCTGAACGCGTAGATTTGTAGAACAAACTTTTCTGATCAAAATAAGACCTCGCACAACTCTGTATGGCCTTGCATCAAAAAGTTACAAGCATTTTCCTACAAGTTCTACAACTGAGCATTTTATACAGCGTTTTCTCGACACAGGAGTTATACCTGAAGTATTTCTCAAGATTTTTTAATATACTTCAAGCTAGAGAGTTCGAATTTCCAGAAAATCAGGAAGCATTTTTCGGATTACTCATTCCCATAACGCATTATGTCTAACATTTACGAAAAGTTTCGTCAAGATCGGATGTACGGTGTCAGTGCTAAGTTCTGAAGGGATCCTTAAGTAATACTTTCGATTATTAGCACATATAATAATTAACACCCTTAACCGATACTCCCATGAGAATTCTAGCGAAATGCGAAACTTCCTGAACATTTTACAGAATTCCCACTGTGTGAGAATGCACTAAGACTCCCGTTTAATTCAATGAGTTTCTTCCACAGAAGTCTCGATGAAATGCCGTATGCTTGACACATTCATCGTTTTATCAATGTCCATAGTATATGAGACACGAAAGTTCTGGTCATGCTGGTATTTCATTACTAGAGATCGGCTTTTAATAATCTCGATTGTCACTTAAACAAATGATCACTGATGTTGATCTTTTCTTTCCTATTGTTTATAGATAATGCAGTCTATTTTATCCTTATGGAACAGAAACAACCTCTGCTAGTATAAAAGTGACGAAATGCTCAAACGCTAACTCAAAAGTCTGAGAGATCTGAAAAAGAACTATAGAAAGATAATTTAGAAAGTGGGGGGCGGGGGGGGGGGCAGCAGGGAGGAGAAACATTTTAGTTGGCTATATTGAACATGAACAAAGACGTAATACACTCATTAAATTTTGTGTTGGTTTAAGAAAATTTCTCGGCTTTTTCTTTGAAGAAGACAGTAATTTAATAAACAACAAAGATTTTCTTGGTATATTTTAGTAAAATATCATTAGAACTTTTTAGTGATTAAATTTTTTCTCAATAAAGTTTATAAGAGAAAAGTTTGTTTGATGTATGTTGCATAGTTCAGGCTTTGCTTCTTCAAACAAAAACAAAAGCAAGACTCCGGAACATTAGGAACATGTATAGAAACAGTGCCCGACATTTGTTGCAAAACTTATGCACACCCCGTTCGATTTGGAAAAAACACTTTTTCAAGGATATTTATTTTACAAATCTAGGGTTTTGCAAAATTTTTCAAATGCTTTTAAACTCATTATACACAACTAACAACTGTCTGCAAAGTAACACTGCAATGATCTTGCTAATAAGACTGTACATAATGTACGACGTTGGTGTTTAGCATAAAAAAACTGATCAAAATGCACCGCGAATAGTTTCATTATGTGCTGTGGGATGCATGTTTTACTCATCACGATGCCTTGCCAGGGCACTTCTTATTCGCAGTGAACATTTCTTGGGAATCGAAAAAACAGGCGATGAAACATAACCAACACTATAGATCAACGTTCTTTATTATGACAGACATTAATTTCAAGTGTGAACATAAAAAATAGATGAAAAACCAAATATAAATAATCAGCGTCTTTGACAGTTCCATCCAGAGGTCATAGCTTTTAATTTATATTTTACGAAACTAGGCCATTTTTACAAGCAGGTGACAAGTAGGGCTTGTTAAAATAAAAAGATAATGATCAGTGCAGTAATAATTGCCTGAACTATAACGCTCATTTTGCCGGTAAAATAGTCTCTGAACTCAAACGACGAAAACATAATTGTCAAAATTGAGAATCGTTTTGCACTATTCTTAGAAAAGTAGTCAGCTAATCTTAGTCAAGTGATTTCAATTTAAACTAAAAGGATGGTTTGACATATCTTATTGAAAAATTTGATATAATATACAGTAATTACAGATACAAGACACCAGATATTTTGGTATTAGAATAACAATGTTTGTAAATAATCCTCGAATTCGTCTTCCCTGAAAATAAAAATTGCAAAATGAAAATTATTCAAGCAAAACATAAAATCATCTTACCTTGTTGTTTCTTTTGTCTCCTTTATTGGTTTCGACCATATTTCACCTTCATCCGCCGCTGCTGCTGCATTTTGATCATCTTCATCTTTTTTGTTCTGTACCGTTGCTAAAATCAACATTTACAAACTAACATTCACAGGAACAACAGAGATGAAAATTCGAATAAACATACCACTAGTTGAATTTTCTGTTCGACTTCTCTTAACATGATCCAGTTCATCATTATTCTCAATAGTTTGTTTTTCTGATACAAATTCTTTCACACTACAAAGATAATACGTGACAGTAAATTTGCCAACTAGTACAAAAAAATATTCTGTTAGCTTTTCTTACTTATGTCCATAATGTAGTTTTTTTGTACAATCTGGACACAATCCTAAAATAACAATATTTCAAATTTTTCAATCCAATAGATATTAGTGTTTTCACATCACTACATTTAAATTGGTTTTTTGATTTTAGAAACTATTTTTTGCGATATGAAAAGCGTCTTTCTTTACAAGAAAAACTTGTTGTACTTTTAAAATGTTTGATAGTGAGATAAAATTCACGTAATAATTCACGTGTTCAATTATATTGTAAAAAAATACTTACTTAATTTAATGAGTGCATCACGTTTTCGTCCATGTTCAAGGTAGCCAAATAAAATTTCCCAACTTCTCAAATCATCTTTTTCTGTACAACGTTTTTCTCCACAAATAAATTGACCTATGAAAATATACAAGAAAATATTTATAGTATAAATTTAATTTTTTGCTCACAATTTCTTTCACCTTTTCCACTAACAACTTCACGATCAATCCGCCAACGCATAGCAATTTTCTTTTCTTTCCATCGACTCAAATCACAAATGCAATATTCTTTAAATAATTTATCATAATATTTTTTTGCCAAACGTTTTTCCCTAATCAAGTAAGAACAAGAAACAAAAACTGTTAACTTTTCTTGTTTTATAAAAAGACATCAAATTATTGACATTTGTTACTCATACTTGCCATGTTTCTTCAGGGCGATCAGATTCATCATCCCATAGAAAACGATGTTCACCACGAATTATATCCAAATCAGTCCTGTCATTTGAACTAATAAAAATGAGAAAACATAAATGGAAAAATTATTGTTCTTGTTGAGATCTATTGATCAGGTATTAATGACTTACTTGTCTCGTTTGAATATCTCACTAAATGACTTTTCTTTTGAATAGTATCGAACATAATCATTAACAAGCTTTTTATGTCGTTCATACGCATTCATTGCCATAAATTGTGAATGAAATCGTTCTCTAAATAGATTGAAAAACATTCAATGTTATACATGGTGTATTATTGTAACATACTTGTTAGCATTTGCTTGACCTTCTTGCCTTGACACAAGACCGACAGATGATGATTTGAACGTTACTTTTTCACATAAATCAAACCGTTTTCGTCTAAACAAATAATTTTTAGTTTTATAGTAAACAAAAATAAATAAATAAATGAACTAAAAGACATTACTTTTTATCGTCCTTGTCGGTACTGTACTCAAATTCTGAGTTTAAATCAGATACTTCGTCGATCTAATAGACAAATATTGTTTGTTATTCTAAAAGATTGAATGAGAGCAACATACCTTTGTCAAATCGGTTAACTGTGCCATCAAAAAATTAATTCTAAAAGATAACAACATACAAGTTTATCATTCTATAAATGAATAAAATTTTTGTCTATTTAAAAGATAGTTTGCAATAGAACGAAATTCTCTGTTGTTGTTTTTTTAATCTTTGTTTTCAATAAGATTTCGAACACTAAAGAGTCCATATAAAGAACATGTATAAAAATGACCGAACATACATGAGCTATTTCTGAAATAACTTCAAATAGCGTAAAGAAAAAAAAGAAGAGAGAAGTATATAGACACACAACAATAAAAAAAAAAGACTTCATTTTACTTGCACTACTTTTCTAATAAAAATAATCAAACAAATAGACAGAAAAAAAAATAGAATTTTTTTTGTATCAAAGTTACATAAAAAATAAATTTAATTTGTTTTTCTCTCGAATAGTCCAAGAACATCTCTAAATAGAAAATACAAGGACATATCAAAATGTGACAATAAGAACAATGACTTACTTGTGTATATACATCACACCGTAGGCATCTGGAGCCAAATCTTTTAATGCTTTTTCTTCTGTACAAGCTACTACGGATGTATCGTCGTATGACCACCACACATTTTGTTGGCAATCGTAAACAGTTGACGTATAATGACCTTTTTTTTAAAGATGAAAGATGAAAACACGTAATAGGTATAAACACTGAAGAACATAAAACTCACCAACATCACTGGAACCACCATGATGATTGATTAATGCAAATAAACGATAATCGGCATGTGAACCATCAACGACGGGTGATCCAGAATCTATTGTATACGTAACCTGAAAAATAGAAAATATTCTTAAAGAAGCGCTTCTTTAAGAACTCTTCTCATATACAGACTGGACGTATCGTTTTTCGTTCTATATCTTTCATTATATATTTGACTATGTATAGTCTTAATTTTGACACACTCACTTACACTTTTTTCATTCTGATGATGACAGTGGATTCTGTCGAAATATCAATGAAATAAATAAATTATGATTAGTTAATCATGTTTATAGCAGTTTTATACTTCATTACCTCACTATTTAAATTATCAACTGCTCTCTTTCCTAACTTTATTCTTTTATACTTGAATATTTCATTTATTGTTAGAAAAAATAGTTTGTAAGATCATTCTTAAGGGTACCTTCTCTCTCTCTATTCGTCTTGTGGGTAAAAGTTCATCGAGTTCAAATCCTTAGAACATTGAAAAAGAAAATCGGATGTATTTTATACAGAATCTTCTGATATGTTTCTCGATGGGTTTTTTAAAGACCTCGGTTTTTATCTGTGTACATTATGACCCTCCATCCCGAAAACTTCATTTGATCATGCTCAAAGTTTTACCACAGATATTTGAGACGATATTTCAGACTGTCTAGTTTTGTTGTATCTCAGATTTATTTTTCTCTTATCTTTATTATATTTTCAACATCAAAAAACGAGATTTTGATCATTTTTTATATCTCGAACTGAAAAAGAAAAATTTACATTCTGAGATATCGTTTCAGGGCCGGGGAAGAGAGAGAAGGAGACTCGTAACGTACACAAACGAAAACCCATAGCGAAACATATCAGAAAATTCTGAGCAAAAATACCTTGATTTTCTTTTTCTATGTTCTGTCTCTGGAATAAGTTTGAACTCAATCGGACTTTTGCTTTCGGTTTTCCAAGAAGGTGAAAAACGAGGGGAAGTTACCGTTAATAATGCAAAAGATATTTCTGTTTAACAACCATAGTCGACCAATAAGTGATTATAATTGCAGCTATTTTAACAAACAACAAAAACAACTGCAATTATAATCGCTTATTGTCAAAAATCATTGCTCTTATACTCAGAAAATTTAGTCGAATAATATTTTGGAAATGAAACGAATTTTTCAACTTACAGTTTTACTTGAATCGGGTGAATCAATGTTACAATTATTAATCTGTACTTCCATTTCAACATCTTCATGACTATTTAAACATGAACGTTTTGGTTCACTAAAATCATCGGATTGTTCTTGACAATGATGATGATGATGATCAATCTCATCATTTGACATTGACGTCGTCGATTTATCATTCATTATTTTATCTCGTTGTTTTAATAAATCTTTTAAAATTGGTAATTGACCATTGGTCGAGAATAATTTTGGCTCTTGAACATCTGACGTACAATATGGTTTCATATTTAATTTTAATGAACAATGTACTTCTTGATCTTCTTTTGATACGGATTCAAGTTCACCCAATACTGTCTTTGTTACATGCCATCGTTTCAAATAAAGTACAAAAACACTTGAAAAAATAAATAACAACAATCGAAATTTTAGTTACATTCTATGAATGTCGATTTTACCGTGGCAATTGAGCGATACTATAGTGAATTAATTTTTCTTCCGTTGTATTACATACATCGCAATAACAATCGAGTTTTTCTTCAACAAAATAATTTTGAATTAAATTTTCTAAATAATCTGTATGGCTTTTTCTACAAAAACCAACCACAACAGAAAACAGATAAATTGAAAAATAGTTAATTATTAAAATTAAAATAAATATGACTACTTACGATTCATCACCGGTTACATGTATCAATAATGCTGTATGAATCTCTATACTAACTGTTGATGAATTACATCTAAAATATTTGAGAAAAAAAAAAGGATTTTAAATTAAATGTAAACTGTAAGATCTGCACACATACCGTGTACAGGTACGTTCTGTTTTAATACAAAATTGAAAATTTGTCGTTGTTGGATCAACAATTTTATTTATGTCTAATGGATGATGATTTAGATTTAACTGTTCAGATATGGTTAATGTTGTTTGATCTTCAATTTTCTTTCGAATAGCTTGAATTTCTTCGGTTATTATTGATATGATTAAATTGAGAAATTCATGAGAATCCTAGAAATAAATAAATAAAATATTGTAAAAATCAATAAAGTTTTATGAGAAAAAAATTTGTTTGGTGCATGTTTATAGTTCAGACTTTGCTCTTTGAAATAAACAAAAAAAAAGGTCAGATCTTCAGAATATTTTTAACGTAGTTTAATGAACTGATTT